CATGGTATCTTTTTACAAAGTCAAGAGCTTTAGCTGACTTTATTAATTGACTGAATCTACCGTATTTATTAAATCTGTTCATTAATCTGTTATAATTATTCACCCTTCATCAAAACAATATCTTCAATAATAATGAGACGTCTCAAAGCTGGTTGGATGATACTCTATAGGCTGTCATGATCAGCCCAACAATAGTATTATGACACATCTGTCATAACATTTCAGAAACACCAAGAGTCAAAACAGAAGTCACAGTCGTCTTGAAAGGGGCTTAATCAAGGGGAAAAACCGCTCCAGCATCACCCGGTTGTTAGGGTAACCCACTTCCCACGTTCATTAGGTCCTCGACAGTCAAGACCTGATTAGTTGGGACCTGATTAGCCTTCAAGACTTTTGTCTGAGGACAGCCACTCGCTAAGAGGCTGCGCAGGCAGAATCTAATTAGATAGTCAGTCTCATTCCCATACATGTCTACTAACTTACAGCTTGAGTCCATTGTTCCCCACTGAAAACAAAAACAAACCAATGTGACTCATAATCCCCTTAACTAGCTTGACCTTGTTTAAGTATCTGATGAGGCCATTCATGAAGAGGCCTCCTCCTTGGGAATGGTTAGTTAGTCAAATGAAGTAGGTAACGCCTTTTAATAGTCATTATTGCAATTTAAAAAAAAAGAAATAGTTGACTCAGTGGTATTTTATGATAGTAAAGATTTTGTAGTGAATCACTGTTTACAGGTGCCTTTCTGCTTTGCCAACATGTGCCCGTTTTTACCCCAACCAATGAAATTCACAGAAAGCCACGTGAGCGGTGAGTCATGGTTGGTGGAGATGGCATCCAAGAGGGGGCAGCTGGGAGAAAAGGGAACCTTTATCTTCTGATTTGAATAAGATGGCCTGGATCTGTCACAGTGTTTACCCCTCCGTATGGTCCGAGAGGGGCACACACAAAACAAGCGCAACACGAACAACCTCGACCGCGCACACTACAACGGTCATTGTGCTGTTGTTGTTTTTTTCTGTACAGTGTACATGTTGTGCTTTGTTTTCCAAATTTCCTTCATTAAACTCCCAGTGGAGCCAACGTTCATCCTTGCCATGTTCCCTAAACCGACTATTTCTGCTCTCCCCTCCCTCTATCAAATCATCCTCCCTACACCTGCTCAGATAACCACTCCTCCGTCTCTAGGCTCCATCCTCCTCTCTGCCCTCTCCACCCCTCCATTACTCATCCTGCGCTTTATCTTTAGAATTATCTCTAGCTCGCCCGTGTAAACCCATGGTTTGTTTTTTTGGTTTTACATAAAACCATAATTTAATGAGGGGAAAGGCATTATTTAATATAGACTTTTTTTATAGCAGTTGCTTTCATAGTTACACAAGGAAAAAATCAGGCAGAAGACAGAAAAGAAACTAAGTGTGAAATCGGGGAAAGTTCTGGCAAAGTTTGTAAAGTAAAAGAAAATGAAGTGGAAGATTGTGTTTGGACTCACCTTGACATCAGAGAAGAACATCTTGAGCATATTTGAGCTCGGGTAGCGGGTGTAGAAAAACATGAGCTTGGCCTTCTTCAGGTGATTGGGGGAGAGACCCTCCTGGATCTGCAAATAGCTGCTGTTAAGGAAATTAACCATTGTTTGAAGGGAAAACAACTTGTGGTAGATTAAGCAAATGTAGCAACTGATATTCTTAGAAATACAATAATGTACTTATTGGTACATAATAATTGGCAGAATTCTTGGCAAATAATTATTATTTGGGTGAGGGGTAACCAAATGTTCTTTCATGCATAAATGCAGGGTTGCTTAAGGGGGGTTGTTGCTGAAGACGGTGCACCAAAGCAAAACCATTTGCTTGAAATTAGCATCGTCCGTATCAGGTGTGAGAGCGTCACGGTAAATAAAATGCTGGCCAGCACTACAGCCGATGCTTTTACATAAGGAGGCTCATTTCACAGTCAAAGTAAGCAAACGCCTTTGCCTACACCCTGCGTTAACCTCCACCCAAAAAAAAGGAAGAAGAAAAAAGGAGACATTTGCATATCACAGACAAAGACAGCAGTTAACGCCAGTGACGGGCAAGAAGGCCTAATGGCTTGGCGACAGCACATGCCAAGCCTGAATATGACTGTCAGATGTTGGCTTCATATCAGTGACCAAAGACCAAAAACAAGGTCTAGGAGATATGTCTCAAACAACGGCCCAAGCAACATTTAGAAAAATAAAAACCCTCACACTCGCACAGGCCGTATTCAAATACATGTCAGAGGCCATGTCCACCTAATGGATCCCCTGGATTGAACAGCACAGACGATGGAGATGGACTAGTGGGGGCACCTTGAGGGAAAGTGTGGTTCCAACCTTCAATTACATCCCCCTCCTCCTCCCTCTGCTCCACCCCTACCCCCCAGCCCCTTTGCTGTTGCCAAACCCTTGGAGGAGCAAAAGAAGGAGGAGGAGAAGGAGAAGAGGGGCTCAGAGGCTTTGGACTCAGCCAGTGATGGGGGGGACTGAAACACATCTGCGCCACCGAACGGCCCAAGCCATTTCCATGGTGAATTAACGGCCGTATAATGCATCTGATAATATCAATCTGGAGGATAAGACATTGAAAAGGGAACAGGGAGTGGGGGTGGGCCACACGTTAAAACCTCAGGCTGTTTCAACAAGGGTTTTCATCAAGCAGAGGCAAGACAGGGCTTTAAATTAGACAGAAGATGCAGCCCCAAGTTTTCATGAAGACTATTTACACTTGAGTGGACAAAATACATTGCTCGACATTATTTATGATCTACAGGGGTGGCTGCGATCGTTAAAATCAGTCAAGTGTCCAGATGTAGCTGTAACTATAGAGTGGGAAGAAGGCATCAGCTGCTAGATTGGATTGCCCTTGGCCTCAGGGTTACACAGCAAAGCCAGCAAATGCTGAACCACGCTGGGTTGGCTCCTTAAAGACCCTGTCTACTTTGTCTGATTCAGTGGAAGAGAGGGAGGGAGAGAGAGTTAGTTGTATACGCAGCGAGGGTCTTGTGGGGGGAAACCCTGGCAGACTGGTGTTACTCTGTCAGGCCTGGCCAAAAGAGCAGCACTTCACTCTCCACACCATACCATCTGCTCCAAGTGGAGGGGATACAATGGCTCCTCAGACAGAGAGAGAGGGAGAGACACACAGAAAAAAAGAGAGCTCTTTTTCAGTATGGCGAGGTGGGATTTGTTTGCTGTGCACTTAATTTAATTTTGCTTTTTCAATAAGGATTAACATTGCTTTCCTGTTATCGTCGAAATTAAAATTTATTTCGAAAAGAAAGACGTCAAGGTTTTACCTCTCTAGCCATAAACGCAATATCACCTCCCTTCAGACGACAATTAAGAAGCTTCATATCTCCTGATGAGGCATTTTCATCTCCAATTCACTCACAGCTTGCAAATGTAATTGTGATTGGACTTAGGGGTGGCGTGCGAGGCTATTATTTTGTCATGATGGCGCACTCATACCAGCTGGCCTACTGTTTGCCTGCCACATCTGACAAGACATCATCATTCTCGCAACACTTCCCCAAAGCCCAAAGTCATGAGAGGAAAATAGCTGCTCCACTTCCTAATTCCAGGTGTAAGGACAAGAAAATTTGGAGTCGGACTGAGAACAAATGAGGAAATTGATAGCAGCCATCTGCTCCACAACGCATCTGAGAGCTGGTGAACTTGAACACACCGTGCAAAATGTCTGACAGGCTGTCTCTGAGTTCAGAGGCTCGGAAAAAAATAAAACTGCAATAATTTCAAAACGAGAAACCGGGTTCAAATACAATTAACGGCATTCATAAACGTACAAATTATAAGAACAAATAATAAAAACTCTGGGAATCAAAAATAAAAGATGAAAAAAACATTTGGGCATGTTCTTTCCATATAGGGTGCACATCTGTTAATGCCCTGAAATTATACATTTTACAAGGAAAGCCACGGCATCTGGCATATGTGGTTATTGTTTGATTGTTTTTTTTACTTTCTCCCAGTCGCTGTGTGTCTCTCTCTCCCTTTGCTCTTTTCATCCCTCCATCGGGAGCCCATAGAAGCAAAGGATTATGGATCTCTGGAAAGCGTTCACCCTTGGGTCAGAAGACAAGACAAGGCGAGGTAATGAAAGATAAACAGCTCGCTGCAAACACCTGTTAACGTCCGCTTCAAAGAAAAGACAGGGAGGAGGGGGGTTTGCAGGGAGGGAAAACAAAAAAAGAAGTATTTGGCTGCCAAGCAACAGCCGAAGGGCCCCCCGGGCTGTTGACAGATCTTTATGAAATGAAAAAAAGAGAAAAGAAACGACAATGATTGTGGGCTTTTTACAACAGCGATAGATGATAAGAGGAACACAAGAGAAAACACAAGCAATCATAAATATACATCTTTACACAGTCCTCAGGCGAACCTCCTGTGACATGCACACACAAAAAGACACACATGAAAAGGCCTTGGCACCCAGGTGCACACAACAGGAAAAAAGGGATTCAAAGAGTATACATCTCAACTAAAAGGCCCACAACAGGTAAAAAGCTATAAGATTTATTTCTTAAGAATGTAATGTCTGTTAATGACTAAGACAAAGCTCTCTGAGGATAACCGGTGTGACATGTATCAAACTTTCATAAGGATTTTAGGGGGCTTGAATACTTAGTGACTAAGGATGTATGGAGAAGCAGAGAAGGGGATGAATGTATCTGTTTAAGCTATTAGTCCTGAGTCCCCAGGGGATTCAATTTGAGCCTCCCATAGGGGATAGCCTCTTTATCCTCAGGGCATGATTGTGGCACACTGGGGTTAAACTATAAGGGAGGCTATATAATACCATTGTGTGCCAAGTTTCAGGATGCTATCTGCTCTTTCAGGCCATTTTTTTTAATAAAAGGAATTGGGGCAGTAAATGTCATGGGGACCTAATCTTCGTGAGTAAGTGATATGTGACAAGTGAGCTTTTAAAGCACTCAGGATTGAAGATGGAAGGAAAGGCTGTAGGGTGTTGTGAGAAGGAAGAGGTATGAGTATAAAAATAAATATAACATTGCAGTACAATGGAGAAGAGAACAGCAGTGGGAGGTAAAGTGATTCATCAACAATTTCTCTGTTTCTTAGGCTAGTTTCAAACAGGCCCAAAAAGATTTGATTTTTAACTCTTTGTGGTTCAGATGCAATGTTTTCCACCTGTGTCTGCAGGGAATTACCACCTGAAGATTTTTCCTGGCTTACTCATTCTGAATTGAACTGCGTAGGGTTAAAACATCTGTCACACACATTCGCTCATTATCGCCTGTGAGCCCCCTCAAAACACACTTTCTCTCACACACATGCACAACCCACAATCACCACCATATTTTTGAAAGGATACATTGCTGCCTGAGTAAGGTGAGATGTCAGCCATGTCCTGCAGATCACCGCACTCAGACTTGATGAGGGACAGGGAAAGACCCTCTGCTGTGCTTCCAGGGTGCGCTGGTGAACAAGAGCGATGGTGGTGCCCCAGGTGGTGACCTGATGCCATCTTGGTCCTCAGACTAGTGGTCTCTCGGGACAGGTCCATGGAGTCTGGAGAGGAACGGTCCTTGCCTGTGTAGCCACCTGTGGGTGCACCAAGGGGACTCTGGAAAGGGTAGCCCATGAGAGGCAGTGGAAATGGGTGTCTGAAAGATGGAGGACTGAAGCCCATGGAGGCAGAAAGTGAGGAAGGATGAAGGGCGGGGTGGTGGTGACCACCATGGGCCCCCACAGCTGAAGACTGGTGGTGGTGGTGGTGGTGCTCACTGGGTGTCTTCCTCACGACTAAGGGCAGTGCCTCGGTTTGGTCATTGGTGGGGCCTGGCAGCCCAGGCATGCTGGCAAAGGAGTCTAGTGGATTGGGAATTATGACATCACCAAAGCAATGCAGCCTCTGGTTGGCTGTATGGAAATTGGGGTTGTCTCCATTGACAGTGGTTGGAAATCTTTCAGGAGGTATGGAAAGTGGGGGGAAGGCCTGCTGGGGTGTAGGACGAGGAGGTTTGGCAAACACCTTAACCACTGTGTCCACTACCTGGGTCATGGCTGAATTGAGTTCCTGCTTCAGTGTTTCTGCCAGCTGTTTACCTTCAGCATGCATCGAGGAGCCTGGTCCGCCCTGTCCTTTGCTCCTGCTGAGCCCCTCTCTTCTTGGCTTCCCTCCGTCAGCCAGCAGGGCCTGCTGCTGAAGTAATGCCCGAGCCCTGTCCAGGAAATGGCCCGGATCCAGGTCAGACATCTCATTGTCAGAGCGCAAGTCATCTCCAACCCGGTCATCACCGCCAGTGTCAGACCTGCCTGGGCTGTCCTCAGACATGTTTCCTATGTCATTGTGGAGATCATTGTGGAGGTCAGTGTGTTCTGAGTCGTCAGTTGAGTCATAGATCTGAAAGAACTTCTCCTGCAGCTGGCGTAGCTGTTTCTGCATGTCCTCCAGCTGCAGCTTCAGTTGCCGTCGCTCCTCCTGCTTCTGTTCCTTCCTCTGGCACACCAGCTGGGTAAAGCTCTGCTGTTGCTGCTGAGGCAGACGCTGCTTACGCTTGTTCTCTCTGCTGCTGCTACTACTGCTGCACACCTCTCCTCCCCGTGGACTGCTAGGGGCCTGTTGCTGAGACTGAGGAGGTGGGCAGTCTAGCTCCATCTCCCGCTCCCCATCCATCTCATGGTCACGTTCATGACGGGAAGCAGCAGGTACCACCACACTGGGTGAATGGCTCATACCACGTATAATGTTCTCTACACGGGCTCTCTTGGCACGCAGGTGTTCATCATTGAGACGTTCGATGTCAAAGGTGGCCAGGCCAGGAGGACGGCCAAATGGTGACAAGCACTCTTGAGGGGTGCTGTCCTGGGAAGAGTTACTGCAGGCATCCTCCTGGGGAGCATCTGAACTTGCATTGGAGAGACCTGAACCGGGGAAGCCTGATTCCCCTCTATCACCCCTGTCTCCTCTTTCACCCCTCTCGGGTCCTCCTCCATTTTTAGCCATGTTATTCTTGAGAAGCTGAGAGATAATGGTGGTGCCAGGGAAGGGCATCATGGCGTCCTCATATGAGTTGGCCCTCTTCAGTAGCTTTCGGAGTACATTGGACTTGGACTCACTGTCACTTGCTGAAATCACGCCAGGCCCACCATGTGGCTGCACTACAGAGCACTCCATGGAGTCGGTGTCTGATCCGTGGTGAGAGTGGGAGCTCAGAGAGTTCATGGCACAGAAAATGGCTGCTTTGGCGCGGGCAATGTTATCAGTGGTTGCTGTTGTGGCTGCCGCTGTGGAGGAGGCTGTGCTGCCCACGGTCCTCTTAACACCAATGTCCACACGTCTTCGCTTGGTCTGTCTGTTCAGGAGGGAGTCGCTGTCATGGTCCGGCATCACGGGCTGCTGCTATTGGGCCATATCCCACAAACCCAGTCCACTTGGATCAAAGCCTCTGAGTACCTGTGGGCAAAAATCACAGATGCATGACTCACAACAGTGATACATATTTTTAGAAACAAAGTCACTCACTCACTCAGGCAGTGTCCTCCACCACTTCCAAATTCTAAAATAATCCACATTAAACTGAAAAGCCTCATAGTTTTTGATGGACTGAAACTATCAAAAACTATCAACCTTGAGAGAATTTCCATTGCTGACGTTACGGACACAAAGCGAAGAGTTTTGTCTCAAGCTACTAGGAAAGATGGGGACATCCATGAATATATTCAGGCAGTAAGGACCAATGACAGAGGGGTAAAGGGAACAGGGGAGCTGGGGTCAGAATTAGGCCTTGGCTCTACATTCCAGGGCAAAGTCCTACATTTTATCCTGTCCCCTGTTACACGCCGTGCGACACTGAACCAGTTCCCACGGAACACAAAGCTGCATAAAATTATGATAATTACTTAAGTACTTGTCCCCATTTCCATGCTTGTGCAGTGTGAGCCACCGTAGAAGCTATTAACTCTCAAAATAAAATTAAGAAATTTAAAAGAATTGGGTAGATAATCTTCAAAAATGATATTGTATACAAAGGGAGGCAATGTATACGCGTAACATACCCTTCACAAAATTCTGCCCTGTTTGGTCCGTTCAACAAAAATATTCTCATTTGAAACCAAGGTTTCATGTTGTATCCTTTTAAAAAAGACAAACAAGTCCTGTGTTCACATTAATCAATATGGCCATCATATCTTAAGCAATGCCGAGACTGACACATAAAAGAAACACAAAATGAGCCTATTGATTTTGTTGCCAGCGTGAGCTCACTTCTGTGTTTTTTGTTTGTCTTTTCATCTGGCAAGGGCAGTTAATTCCGCTCAAATGAATAGGTCGCAAGGGTCAACTCTGGCAAGGAGCAACTTAAAGCGCTCTGACAAAAACCCTAATGCCCCTCTGAAAGCAAAACGTTTTGTCACTACAGGCCTGCATCAATAATGCTTCGTAAGCAGCGGTGGCAGAGTCTCCTAGTCAGAGCCATAGCAGATGCAATGATTTAAAAAAAAAAAAAATTGTTTCATCTGTATATCTCTCATTTAGAAAAAATACATATTTTTGCTGTGAGTAAATTTATAATATGGACAATGTTGGCAGCATAAAGGTGGTAAAACTGTTGCACATTAAAAAAATATATTTTTACACCAACCTAGAAAAAGGCTCAGTCAATAATAACAAAATATAAAAAAAGAAATTCAAGAAAAAGCTTTACTTAAATTTTACATTTTGTACCATACTCAAATGTTGCTCTTGTTACAATTTTACCTTTAGATAGAGCTATAAAGTAGCTATAAGAATAATTGTTTAATCTTTATTCAAAAATCATTCAACGACATTCTATAAACTTAATTTCAAGCAAATTAAAATTTCGTGAGACTTTAGATAATTTTCTTCAAATAATTATTTGTTTGCTCTAACTAACACAAATTGTATCATTGTCACAAAATATAACTGTTTGTTTTGTATAATTTTAAGTATATCAAAAGGCTTCTTTCTTGTCACTTTAATCCTCACCAGGCACATTACACACAGGCGCGTACACACACAACTTTGCTGTTGGCTTTGTTAAAAAACTGTGCAGTGTGGTGCACAACACATAGTGACATCGACTGATAGAGTTTTCACTCTGGAAAGAAAAAACATTTTGTGGAATGAAATTAAATTATGTGTTATAAAAATAGTTTGAATTAAATGTTCCCCAACTTAAAAAGCCTCCTATAATGAAGTAACACCAAGATTTTGGAAAAAAACCTTTGATAAATGGGCTTTGGCCCAAGCCCTGACAGCCATATCCAGCAGTTCAGACAAGAGGTGATACATCTCCAAGTAGGAAAAAAAACCTTGACTTGATTGCCTTAGGATCTTAACAATGAGCTTGAAATAGTCACCAGCACCTGTCTCCCCCAGCACGCACCTGTCTTCCATTGCCCATGCACGCACACACAGACACACACACACACACACACACACACACACACACACACACACACGCACACACACACACACACACACACTCTCTCTCTCTCTCTCTCACTAAAAAACCTTTCATTTATTCCAAGCAACTATAATGAACACTGTCTTGCCCCAATGTTCATTATTACACCCTTTTTCAAACACCTAACCAAACATTCAGCTGATATGAGAGGAAAAGTAACATAAGAATCATAATATTAACATCAATCTTGGCCTGAATTAAAATAATAAACAGCTGCTGTAACTTTCTGAAGTTTAACTGATGGTCCAACATTTCCTCAGTAAGATAGTGGAACTTTGACTGTGCATTAGGTTGCCAGCGGACAGACTGAGGCACCAAAACCTATAGAGAAAGATTTGCCTAAACTTAAAACCATGACTGTCATCACAGCTGTCCCAGACACCAACAGGAGAGATGTGACAAGCTCCGTAACTGGCTGAATTACGCGTAAATGAAACGACAATATAGAACAATAAAAAAGAGATGGAACCCATTGGATGATGAGATTTTCAGCAGCCAAAACAATAGACTAAGTAAAAGTAATGTAATGAGGCTTCTCGCATTCCCAAAACTTACTTCGCAAAGTTGCAGCAATCAACTTGATCCGCGCGTTGATGAGGAAGGCTGGACTACACCGTCCGCAAACCACCCTCGAAAAACGCACAGGCTCACCGTGCACACATGAGGACAGGGGGAACGGAACAGGGCGAATAATGTCGTATAGGTGCAGATGTGATTAGTTGCTGATCAACCCGAATAATTTCCCCCATTACTCATTTGTTTGGTGGTGTTTTTTGTTTTCCGCCCACCGTGCGCATAGCAGGCGAGGCACGAACCAGAACAAGAGAGGGAGGTATCCGAGGACAAGGTTACTTACCCTTTAGATGAAGAGGGGGACAACCTGAACTCCTGCGCCGGACAAAAAGAAGGAGAGAAGCTCGGCTGGACGCTGGATGCTGGAATATAAGAAGCTCTCGAAGAAGGAGGAGCGGGGATAAAGTCGGCGACGCGAGCGAAACAAGGAGCAAAACGGGGGAAAATACAGATGATGAAAAGAGCTCTTGCGCGTCGGTGTCTCCCTCGATCGTGTGCTGTGACTGAAAGAGTGAGAGACATAGAGAGAGTGCGAGAGAGAGAGAGGGAGAGCGCGTCTGTGCGAGTGTGTGCGTCTCCGAGGCGCACTGGATGCAGAGGACTGGATGCTGGAGCGCTCCTCCGCCACTAAGATTCACTTTAAGACGCGGCTGAAGGAAACAGGAAGACGTGCGCGTCATGAGCGCCGTGATGTAACCGTCGCAACCTACCAATAAGAGGCGTCCGTCCGGGTCCAGAGAACAGCGCACTGAACTTGACCAGAGGATGGGGACTTAAGAGAGAGAGAGAGAGAGAGACACACAGAGAGGGGGAGAGAAAAAAGGAAATACCACTTTTACTAATCTGTTTCTTCTCAAATCAACCGACTGTGCGAGTAAGAATCGTTACGCACTTTGACATTACACTAATCCGTAATAAAACGCATAGATAATACACATTCTAATAGGCATAGTCATTTAGTCTTTAACTGTTAATTTACTCAGAATTTAGATTTTGAATTAGGTGCCGGGAAATAAGTTTATGATAAGAACAAGCTGTTAAGAAAATGCATACAATAACTGTTTGCAAACCATTGAGATTTGCTCCCTCTTGTAGATTTGTTATTTGCGTTTAAAAGAAACACGACTTTATGAGCATATTATTGAATTAATTGTGAAATCGGCCAGTTTGGATGAAAATGTTTTTTGTCTTTCTCGTGGCATTAAACCTACAATTTAAAATCACATTTCTTCTGTGTTAATGCATGTTTCGATTCAGTTCACAAAAGTTAATTAAAACGTATTAACATCAACATCCCAGTCTTTTTTAACGATTACCACCTTTGTAATTTGATCCTGTTACATGTCTAAATTAGGAAGCATTACGCACTCGTATTTAAAACATCACCAGGCTTATGTGAATTTATTTCTGCAAAGACAACTGCAGCACATTTAGACTCGGGTTTCACAAAGGGACGGACAGTAGTAGGTCACTTGGGCATTGTTGGGTTCAAAGTGGCATGTAGAGATATTTTACGCGCACGAGTTTTCTCATTGGTCGCAGCAAAAGTCTGATTTGTGAAACAAGCAAAGCAGCACATGTATACGGCTCCCAGATTTGCTTTGGAATTGAGATTATCCGGAAAAGCCAATATCGGAGGAGAGCTAAACGTCTCTTTGTGAAATGCCGAGTTTCATCATGAAAACGTCTGTTACTGGGATCTGCAACCTGCTGCCACTGACATATCCCCGTGCGTAAAGACTGCACTGTCACCAGAAGTGATCACTGAGGGAAACGGACAGAAAAATGAACACAGAAATTCAGTTTCAACGTTTAAAAGTCAAACAATTTTCAGGGAAAGATTATATTTTCCTCTTTTCTTTGGAAACTTTCCCACCTGTAACGCTGAACCCTGCGGAGTCTGACATCTGATCCATAAACCTTGTGATTTATGAAACGATGACGGCAGATCGCTCTCGTTCTTCCTGCGTCCTGACAAATTAGATGTTTGTGATTACACTGTTTTAAACATTTTAACCTTCGACCTTTACAACAGGTGCGTGCACAAATTATTCAGTGATTTTATCAGCAAATAATTGTTTTTTTATACCACTAAAATTCATCTTTACGCACAGAGATATATTTTTTAAAACGGATGAAACCATATTTCTGGATAATCGAGGTCACGTCTATATTTCGACTCATCCGTCCCTGCAGTAAAAGAAAGCGCACGCCTGTGATTAAGAACATGCACGTAGATTTATTTAAAAAAAAACATTTATTCTTTATATAAGTCGGATTAATATTATATATTATTTTAATTGGTGAATCTAGTTATTTGTGTGAGTCATTCGGATGGAACCAGAAAAATCTTTGCACTGTAAATATTAGGTTGATGTGCCTCTGCCCCTTTTCCCTCCCACTTTTTCGCTTTGGATTCATTTGTTTCGAGCAGAATCTTCTTTTTTTATCCTCTACGCAAACAGGATCCTAAAGCACTTAACGAGAAATCTTATTTTCCATATGCCCCTCTGTCAGGTGCCAAAAGGGAAAAGGCGAGTCTCTTTTCCATGTCGCAAGCAAGTATGTTTTTTTAGGACGAACGAATCACATCGAAGTCAGCAAAGTTTAGTGTCTACAGTGTCTTTTCCAAAGCAGGTGTCCCGGCCCCTTGCTCCCCGCACTGGCCTGTGGCTGATTTGGCCTCGGCTCCCCTGGGTGCCGCCGATGCGCGCACGCAGGCTGGAAAAACAGGCCGGGACATTAAAGAAACGCGTGTTTGGAAAAGGAAGACTCGGATGAGGCGCAGGGGAAACGTGCTGGTTAACACCGGCTGCTCTTATCGCGGCCCATTCCAGGTGGATCAACGCGCGTTTTATTTATTTCTAAACTCACTTTCCCCCCCACCACCTCTCTTCTGGGTCGTGTGCGACACACCTCGATGCCCAAGACTGATAATGTGCGCTGGCAGTGCGCACTGATGGCTGGATTTATTGACGTATTTGTAAGAGTTGGGCCCAAATGAAGGAGGGAGGCGGTGGAAACAATATTTTTCCCAGAGGTGTTGTAAAGGTGCTTTTTTTTAATCACAGTCTGACCACAAGTATCAGTGCGCACGTGGTGACGGTATGCCGGACTGGAGACGCGCCAGTGATCTATTTTTTCAGTTTTAATCAACGACATCAGGGTTTCTAATTATTATTATTGACATTATTATTATTATTGCTGTTGTTGTTGTTGTTGTTGTTTTCCACTCTCATTTTTATCTGAATGAAAATCAACAACCCAGCTGAGTTTTCCTAGATTTAAGTTGCCGATTGAAAGAATGAATATGATCTCTTAAGCAGTAGCAGTTATAGAAATGGCCTTAATCAGATAATGACTTGATGAGCTCCTACAGCTCCACTTTTTTTTACAGACACAGTTTTTTAGAAAAATGAGAGAGAGAGGGAGGGAGAGAAAGGGAGTGTGTGTGTGTGCGAGAGAGCAAAAGAGCTATTTGCAAAAACACAAGCAGAGAGATGGTTGTGCTAAAAGCTGTTTTGTTCCGGAGAGGTCTCTGGGTCTCTGAATAAAAAGGTTTAGGAGACAGGACAGAGGAGAGGAGAGGAGGATACAGGATTTGTCCAAGTGTAATAAGTGAGTAGGCGTCTGACTCTCACATCCTCCAAGTCCTTGTTGGGCCCTCTGTGCAGGACTTGATGTATTCAGCCTCATTCAGCCTCCGTCATTACAAAGATGAGGATGCTGCAGGAAAACATGCTGTTTCTGTTGTCAAGGAAAAACTCATTTCTAAATAAGGAGACAGTTGGACCTGAACATGATTTAAGAAAACAGCACTTAGGTGATGTAGTAAAATAACAGCAATTTTCAGTAGTGATTATTAGTGATATTACTTTTGCTGGCAGTGTTGCCTCTGATGACCCACACATTTTTAGGCTACAGGCAGTGGTGATTGTGTGTGTGTGTGTGTGTGTGTGTGTGTGTG